ATCGCAGAGCTGGGAAGTGGCCGGGCCAGAATTTGATGGGAGAAAATGAGGATCTTGATTCAGAGCACGGAGTCTCCGGCAGGAAGAGCTGGATTCCAAGGCAAGTGGCCCCTGGGGCATCCACCCTCCTCTCTTAGCTCTTCCTCCTCAACAGTGGGTTTATCATGTGAATGCATGACACGACACGAGCTTGTTTGGACAGAAAATCTGGTGATAGGAGGATGGCAGGGGGGAGGGAGGGTCTCCACCCCTCTGACCGAGGGCCGAGCTGAGCTTAGAGGTCATTTTCCCTGACCTATGGGTGTACACAGGGTGCGAGAGATCCGTGAGGTGAGGGGTGTGCCCAAAGCAGGGGGAGATGGGACCCTCGTGGAGAGGGTAGTGCCTGGGGGTTGCAGGGGACGGTGGGCGCAGGGGGAACCTGGGTGTCTGGGGTCACAGGCCACCCTGCTGCAGCCTCACCGAGCTCCTGAGTGGTCAGGAGGCCCAGGCCAGCTCCTGGCATACTCGTGCCCTCAGTGTTTGGCGTGGCTTCCGCTGCCCAGTAAGCACAAGAGTGACAGAAGTAATGAACGAACGAAGGGCAAGGTGTGCGTGCCTGTCTGACGCACCTTCCCACTCACTCGTGAGCCCATCACAGTGTGCTTCTGTGCATACGTCCGTGGTCCCTCCGTTCCCAAGCTGTGTCATGGGGAAAGCGCGGGACGACTAGGCTGGAAGCCCACGCCCCTGCCTTGGGCTGATGACCCAGGTATGCCCCTGCACCCTGGCACTCGCTTGCTCTCTCCTTGGTGAACAGGACAGAACCGGGCCACCTGCCCAGACTCTTCGGTTATGGACGAACACTCCAGGCCCCGTGCACACCAGGTGTCTTCAGGGCTCCCATTTAGAGGCAGCACTCTGGATCAACCTGCGGTGTCGCTGTTAAGGTGACCGATGGGGACCTGGACCGGGTGCCACAGAGTCAGAGCATGGTACACCCTGCCTCGGGACAGTGTCTAGGGCACTCACAGGGTCTTCCCTCACACCAGGTGACTTCAGGACAAAAGGGATAAGTGGAACCTGACCTCAGGGAGACTCAGAGTAAGACGGCAAGGCCGCCTCTATGTCCCCGTCAGTGCATGGCCTTTAAAGGAGAGACCACGCCTGCGAGGTCAGAGGCATGATCACGAGGACCCCGTTGGGAGAGGGGGGTGCAGGAAGCAGGACCCAGACCTGCACCATCATTCCCTCTTGTGGCTCAAGAAGAGGCTGAGACATAGGAGGTGGAGCCCCCATGGAGATTTGGCAGTTGGAAAATTCTAGCCTTTCAGTTCTAGATTCAGTGCCCCTCTCTCTGGTAGCAGGGAGGGTGGAGCCACAGTGGATCTCCCAGAGACGATGATGGGAGCCCTCTGTGGGACTAAGGCCCTGCCTCCTGCCCTTTGGGCACTTACAGAGGTCCTTCTTGTTCCCCACCAGAAGACCTTGGATTCTGTGATAACCGGGGCTCTTCAAACACACTAAGCCAGCTCTTGCTTCTAGGGCTTTGTTTATGTTGTTCCGTCTTCCCATCCCTGGCCCCTGTCCTTGACTTTCTTCTCATCCCCTGAGACTCCATGTAGAAACCCTCTCCTCCAGAAAGCCCTCATGCTCACCAATGCCAGGTGGGGTGGCTCTTGTCTGGGCTTCCCCAGCACCCACTGTCCTGCCTGCGGTGACACTGAGCTGGAATCTTCTGTTTGCGGCCTCTCTCCCACTGGGCTAGGCCTAACACAGTGCCTAGCACATATTTGGTTCTCAGGAGACATTTATTGGATGGATGGATGGATGGATGGATGGATGGATGGATGGATGAGTGAGTGAATGAATAAGAAATGAGGCCAAGACTCCAGGCTAACTAAGGTCCTTGTTTGCCCAGGAACCATATCCTTCTCATCTCTAGGTCTTGGCATCTATCACAGTGCTTGGCACATGGCACAGGATAAGTGGGTCTAGATTGTTTCTTGAGAGTCCGAGTGTGATGCTACGGGCACACAGGGAACATGGTGTAGTATGGGAGGTGTCACTGTGGTGGCAGTTACATCAGGGTCCGAGGTGCTCAGAGCAAGGAGTAATGAATCACTCTGCCTGGAAAGTATGGGAAGCCTTCCCAGGGACAGTGGGGCTGGGCTCCCTTGGGTGGATGACATGTGGAGAATTGGGGGAAGGCCTTCCAGGCAAAGGGAGCAGCCGAAGCAGAGGCGTGGGGGTGCCCCATGCAAGGGGGTGCCCTAGGGAGCTGTTGAGTCAGGTGGCTCTCATCCCACACCGTTTCCCTTCTGCCAACTGGGCTCAAGGCCACCATGCTGTCTTCTCCGATTCAGGGACCCTGTGGTCCCCGGTTTGCACAGGAAGGAAGCAAGCCAAGCGCCCAGACCAGCCCACGCCTCCCAGAGGCTCGTCGCTGCCTGAAAAGCTACCTGACAAAACCGGCCCTCTTTCCTTCCTCAAGGGCTCCCTGCCCCTCAGACAGACGCCTGCTTCCTAGTCCCTGGCCAGGAAGAGAAAGAAAACAGGCCCATCCAAAGAGGCTTCCATTGTTCCCAAGGAGTGACTCACACACACGGGAAGGTTGTCCCCCGACTCCGCGCTATCCCCCAGTGTGCCTCGCGGTGACTCAGAGCAGCTCGCGCCACAAGCCCTTCTGCTGTCTGTGAGGCCCAGGCCCCGAGAGGGCCCTGCATTCCCCAGGGCCAGCCGCCCTCTCCCCTCCGGAAGCAGGGGGGAGGCGGCTCCTTTCAGTGTGGCAGTTATGAGGGGCCGTGTCCCCTAGGGTCTCCCTGTGAGACAGGCTCTCGCCTCAGTTTCCCTCCCTCTGAAAGGGAGCTGACAGGAAAGCCATGCGATGTGTGTTGGCCTTTATTACTGGCACGTGTGGGCATGTGGGGGTACAGGCACCAACAGCAGCTTCCAGCCGGGCCAGCTCCTGGTTTCCAGACTTGAGTCGGCCTGCAGTGCCCGGCGGGGGGGGGCGGGG